GCCGATGGCGAAGACGCTGTACCCTGGGAGCAGAGCCACGGGTCAGAACCACGGGTCAGAACCAGAGCCACGGGTCAGAACCACGGGTCAGAACCAGAGCCACGGGTCAGGACCAGAGCCACGGTCAGAACCAGAGCCATGGGTCAGAACCACGGGTCAGAACCCAGAGCCACGGGTCAGAACCAGAGCTACGGGTCAGAACCCAGAGCCACGGGTCAGAACCAGAGCCACGGGTCAGAACCCAGAGCCACCGGTCACAACCAGAGCCACGGGTCAGAACCCAGAGCCACGGGTCAGAACCAGAGCCACGGGTCAGAACCAGAGCCACCGGTCAGAACCACGGGTCAGAACCAGAGCCACGGGTCAGAACCACGGGTCAGAACCAGAGCCACGGGTCAGAACCCAGAGCCACGGGTCAGAACCAGAGCCACGGGTCAGAACCCAGAGCCACGGGTCAGAACCAGAGCCACGGGTCAGAACCAGAGCCACGGGTCAGAACCACGGGTCAGAACCAGAGCCACGGGTCAGAACCCCGAGCCACGGGTCAGAACCAGAGCCACGGGTCAGAACCCAGAGCCATGGTCAGAACCAGAGCCACGGGTCAGAACCAGAGCCACGGTCAGAACCAGAGCCACGGGTCAGAACCAGAGCCACGGTCAGAACCAGAGCCACGGGTCAGAACCTCATTGATTTCTGTCTCCATCATCTGAAACAACCTCAGATCAAAGGGATCCTGATGTAAGTTTGGAAAAGTTCAGACTTTGGACTCCATTTTGGTCCATTTGGTGAAACTGAGGACACAAAATGGCGTCCAGAGAGAAACAGTTCCTGGTTCCCTCAGGATCCAAAAGAGAAGCGACAACAAACAAGTTTTAACTTCCAGCTGTTAGACTGGAGCGGTTAGAACCGCTAGCTACAAAGCTAGTTCCGCTAACGCTAAAGCACTGTACCAATACAGCATGTAGCAGAAGCTAATGCTAACGCGCTAACTTCAACAATGTTGACACCCACCATGTGTCAATGATACAATATGCTGTACTAGAGCAGCGGTGCTCAGGTGCAGCCGTCCTGCAGCTTCCTGCTCCAGCACACCTGAATCAGACGGTCGGCTCGCTGCAGGCGGTTCCGAGTCCGTCCCGGTCTGAGTCCGTCTCTGGAGGACTGGACTTACTGTACTACACAGTATGTCGCCCTCTGCAGGGTTACATGTGTAATTACACACCGAGCTGTAGAGTTTGCCCTTCAGGATGTGGATAAAACAGTGTTCACCAACTTCAAAATAAGAGCGTGAATATAAATATCTGAAAACAGTTGATAACCAAAACTACACTAAACTTTATTTAGCTGAATGTTTACCAAACAGCTGCGTAAATTAGCGCTTTGGAATTCATCCTGCAACATGAAGCGAAGTGCGCTAGACGTTTTCAAAGTTAGCAAAGATGCTAAACTAAAGAATAGCTCCTCTACTGGCCCATTAGTGCCCCCTGCTGGTGGAGTGGATAATAAACCTTTAGGAGGAAACGGAGCCATAAATCGCTGCATCATCAGCAAAAGGCGGTTACCTGCATGCTGCAGCTTGGCGGCGTTCTTCTTCACCTCGTCCTGAGACCGACCGTCCGTGATGGCCACCACCACCTTGGGGACGTTCCTCCGCATCCCGTTCTCCACCGAGAAGGCCTTCTCATACGTGTGCTTCAGCGCCTCGCCTGTTCACACCACAGGTTAGAGCGGCAGGCCGGAGACAGGCGGGCCGGACCGGGA